TCCCTCCCTCCCTCGCTGCCAGAACAGAGTCAAGCCCAACTCATCCTGCAATAGTCCCGGCTTCCCTGCCTTGGGGCAAATGCTTCGGAAGTTTGCACTCTTGCAAAATCCACGCCTGGCCGCCTTTAGAAGGTGCCAAGGCCCAGAAGATTTCAGGAGCCACGCAGAAGGAAAAGTTTTCTGGCAAAGCTTCCAGACCGGGGCTTGGATCTGTTTAAGGGTTAGGGGGAAGAGGCTGAGAAGCAGACCTGGCTGGCAGGAGCCAAGGCTTCTTTAACGGTGCCCTGGTGCCGGGCTGCTTTTCGCACTGGCAGCCCGCCTCACCCACGCGCCTCCTTTTCTGTGGCAGGCAGTGAAGGAGCTGCAGACCTCCACCCGGGAAGCCATCGTGCTGCTCAAAGCCCTGATCGAGGAAGTCCGAAACAGTGCGGACGAAGAGGAGATGGCCATCAATTCTCTCTTCAGCAGCATGCAGGTGCGGTGGGCGACCCCGTGCCCGCCTCGGGCCAACCTGGCGGGGCCTGAAGCCCTGGCCAACGCCCTGCCTCCAATTTCCCTTTTCTAGGAGAAACTGGCCGAGAGGAAGAAGGTGCTCCTTAAAGTGGTGCAGAGGTAAAGATGCCCCACGGGGGGATCTTCTCCCAGGCGGGAGCAGATGTGGGCTGCACTATTGTGTCGCACGCCTATTGCTCCCCTCCTGCAAAGCAGCCTGCTTTGCTTGGGTCATTCCCTGCACCCCAAAAGACTTTATCCAGACATGGGGAGGGGGGATCAATTGCAGGGGAAACTCATGTTTGTGAGAGGGGTTGAGGACGTCAGCCCAGCAGGCAAAGAGAACTGGTGTAAATAAATCAGCATCTACGGTCCCCACTAATTGTTCTCAGGGACACGTCCTGGCCCAGTGATCAATCCTTGTGCCAGTGGGTGTGGGGTGGGGAGAATAATTCCAGGATGCTGACTGGCTGATACTATAAATATCCTGTCCCCCCCCTCGTAAAATAAGGCACCTTCCCTGGGAATCTACCAGCGAAGGATCAAAGTAGGGTTGGTCGTGTGCATCTGAGAACAGGACGGATATACAGAGAACTTATACACTTTGGCTCTGGGTCGGATGAAGCAGGGAAGGCTCCTGGATCGGGCATCTAGTTCTGGGCACACAGGATTTTAGGAAGGGCATTGACAGGGAGGACAGGGAGGATGATAACCTGGACAGGAAAACCGATGAGGAATGTTTGGAAGCGTTGGCTGACCTGGGAAAGAGAAGCTCGTGGGCAGGCACGGTGGCCATCTTGAAGTGTCTGAAGGGTGTTACATAGGGGGGAGAATTGCTCAAGCTAATCCAGGAGACTGATGACGAGCAATAGATATATTATAAATTACAGGTACTCCTCACTTAACAACCATTCATTTAGTGACCATTTGAAGTTACAACAGTGCTAAAAAAGTGACTTACGATCCGTGTCCAAAGTTATGACTGTCGCAGCACCCCCAGTCACATGATTCCGATCGGGGCGCTTGACAACCAGCTTGCACTTATGATGGTGGCAGCGTCCCAGGATCGTGCAATCGCCATTTGCAACCTTCCCAGCTGGCTTCTGGCAAGCAAAATCGATGAGGAACCGCATGATCCGCTTAACGGCCGTGGTGATGCATTTAACAACCACCGCAAAGAAGGTCAAAATTTCAGATCCAATTTGCTTAAAAACTGCCCCGCTTAACCACCAATTTTCCGGTCCCTGTTGTGGTTGTTAAGTGAGGACTACCTGCAAAAGAAAGTTGCATTTAACTGGATATCAGATAGAGTTTCTCAGTAGGAACAGCTATACTGGAATGTAGTGGTGGGTTGGACTGGATGACCTCCAAGGACCCCTCCTATTTGATCCTCTGCTGCTTCCCTGCTTCTACCTCTCCGCTGCAGAGAAACCAGCCTGAAAACGTGTCCTTTTGATCATTTCCAGCCAGTACGAAGAAAAAGAGAAAGCTTTTAAGGAGCAGCTAGCTCGCCAGGCTTCCTTACTCCCCACACTCCAGGTAGGAACAGATTTGGGCAAGCTACCCCCCACCCCGGGATATTAAGGGGAGGGGGACGCAGGGGACGAAGCCCACCGCAACTGCATCCTTGCAACCCCTTTAAAGGCGACATTTGCACAAAATGGTCCCTTTTTCCGGCTCTAGGTGCACCTGGTGACCTGTTCGGCGTTTCTCAGCTCTGCAAACAAGGCGGAGTTCCTGGATTTGGGCTACGTAAGTCATGGACCCCCACCGAATCTCCCTTCCTGGGGGCCGGTGGGGGAGTAGGAGGCCGGTGGAGACCGAAACCCTGGGCTTCAAGTTCCTTTTGTGGCAAGTGCACTCTGCAGGTGCTCAGAAGCACTGCGAGGGGAAGTGAACCCAATTCAAGCAGGAATGGTTCCCTTCG